CGGACAGACAGACGTGATCTTCAATTCAGGACGACAAAGGGAAGTCACCGTGTCTTATAATTTACGTAGCTCAGGTGGGCTGAAGCCGTCATCGATGCCAACGGCTTCGCTACAAAGTATTAGGTTAGTAGTTGTTTAGGTTTTAATCTCATGATGATAGCGTTTGGGTCAAGTGATTTGTTTTGAATTCTTGAAACTGGTGTTATTTTGTCCTGTTCAGGAAAAAAGTAAAACATGGCCTTCTACCCGAAATAAGAAGAAGTTTTGTGAGTTCTATGGTGGGAACATTAAGGATCATCGCTGTTGTCAACATACCAAAAAATCATTCAAAAACGTCGAGTTTGAGATGAGTTATGAGAAAAAAGGTTCAAGGTGATTTCTTTTTGACCTGTACTGTATATTTTAACAAATACATATAGTATAACTCCGTTAGCGTACATCGTTGGCCAAAGATCGGGAGTATCAACACTGAGATACAACGTGGGCAGAGAAAAACCGTAGGATATCGATGAAGTTGAGGCTAAGATTACATTCTGCTCGCCGAGTTTTATCTGCTTCATATGTTTTCCGATACTACTACTCTAGTTCTACTCTCACTGTGACTAAGGGGAGCCATCCTTTCGCAGTGGGAAGAAAAGAAAAGCATGGTAGACTAGAACTTAGCCTTTGACTCAGAATTGGTTCAGTTCCCGTCCCAGAAGCCCTACACATTGTCCCTCAGTCGACTGATTTTCAACAATGCACAAGTTACCGGTGCTGCATCTACCGACCAGTTACAGAATTCACATCTTTTGATCTGCTGCTCTTCTCTCTTTCAGATCTTCCTTTATCGCTTCGCATCATAGCTTCGCAAGTTTGGACATTAACTGGTTATTGCCTGCAGCTCGCGCGATCCTACGCTAGCGTAATAGCTCGAGAGTCTTCAACGAGAGACATTTCTTGGCACCTTGAGACTCTGTGCTGGTAAAACAGCTACCCAGAGGTTTGGCCAATTTGAAGAAGAATGGAAGAAAATTGACAAGTGCCCGATCGACAAGTTGGTCGAACCAATGCCTCGCAGATAATCCCTAATCTACACGGTAGAGCAGAGTTGGAAGGCTCAAAGAAATATAGGTCGTAAGAATATCGATAAGCACGACTCCTAGGTTCAACTACAGATCATAATCGGGCTTGTCGGGGAGAAAAAAGTCACCTATTCTGAAATGCAATCAGTCAGATCAAAATAGTAAGATCGACTTTTCAAACACTGTTCTTTCACAGATCGCATCCATCTACCATCAGCTATCTTTAGATTTTTGTCTTTACCGAGTGCTACTTCGCCTCTGTTTCCACATACATATATGCGTATGAGCATTCCCCTAAAAATATATACGAAACTGTTTAAAATAATATGTTGAATTGTGGGCCGAATCAAGATCATTGCGGCGACCTACATCAGCGCTCAAAATTCTTCGGTGAAATGCTTTGACGCTTTTTCGTTCATAACTTTTTTCTTAGTAGACCAAATCGCGCGAAATTTGGATATGTCCAACTAGAGCATATTGCACCCTACACTATTTGACTGCGAAGCTGCAATATCCACAGATAGGTGTTTGTTGCGGTAACAGATTTTGCTAAAAGTAAAGTTGTTGACGTCTGCACTTATTCGCACCTTATGTGCGTTTTTCGCATCTATTGCGTTCGGCGTTACCGCTCGTACACATTGGACATGGCAAAAAAGAAAGGACTCTTGGAAGGACCACCATTCGTATTTCCAGTTGATTTTTTGTTCAAGCCCTTTTGGATATCTGGAACATAATCAGATTGCAGGTTAATAGTGGTAAATACTCACACTACACCCACGCTCCAGATATAGAAATTTCGCAAAATTAGATCCAGTAGGAAAGGAGTTATGACTGAAAAGTGCGGCTGAAGGACCATTTCACCAAAGACTTTTGAGCGCTACTGTACTATGCGAAGGGGTGATCTAGGCGGGAATTAGAAAGGTACCTAAGGACGACGACAGCCTTGTCTAGGATAGAATGTTCCCGCCAGCACTGCTTCATTCCCCCTCTACTGGACTGTTTCTTTCTTATTTCATTTGTTTCGACAATCCCGATTTGTCTCGCGTAATTATTCTGTTTATTGTGCGGATAAATTGTTATTCGAGAACTGTGCGCGTGGTGGTCTAACATCGCTTCAATCGGTCGATATCTTTCCTTCAAACTGATTATTCGGTACATGGGGGCCGAACCTTTCGAGAGTATCGGCTGGACAGGGTCAGGCAAACAGCGCACGCAGGAAGTGTGAGATCACGGTGGCAGGTAACGAGGCTACTCTAGGTTTTAAGGGTTGGTGAGGCAGGCCGAGAAGAGTGGAAAGGCGCCCACCACTAGAGCTATCGATCATCGATTAAGATCAAGGGCAAGGTTCGAGTGTGGCCCACCTGTTACAAAAAGTGCGCATAGTAGGCCGTCCTAGTGTAGCGGAAAAATCACCGAGGGTATCGACTGTGATCAAAGGATGGGCTCGAGGGGAGCACACGGAAAAGGACGCAGAGGAAGCCGTCCTAGAGTGGTGAGGAATTCACGAGGAGTATCCGTGATCGAGTGGGAATAGAAGCGAGTTTTAGCAAAACGTGCAGGTTACACGATGGGACGCAGAGTAAGCTGTTTAAGTTAGTAGAAGTGAGCAAGAAATAAGTGTCGAGGCATCAACTCTCTACGTGGATTCGTGCGTATTGTGATTTCGCTCGGTCTCGCTAATATTGTTGACATACCGATCAATCTAAGCTGCCAAGTTCTGAAATGGCGTCGGAAAACAACACGAACCACGCCGCGGACGCCGGAGTCAACTCGATGCAGGTTAATGGTGAACACAAATTTGCAGTGGAGAGTATAAGTGAGATGTTGGATGAAGTGATAGAGGAAATAAGACAGAGACCGGGTGTACATGGTATCCCCGAATGAAAAAGTTATGAGTTTCCACCCCCAAACTGACATGTGAGTGGGCAGGATCATTTTGGGTAATAGAGAAGTGTGATAATTCGGCAGTGGTTAGTAGAACAGGAGAGAACGTGGAACCGATAAGAGTCTAGTTTGATATGTTAAGGCTGGTACCGCCCTATATTCCAGATGACCGCGTTGACACGGTTGCAAATAGGGGTAGAAGAGGAAGAAAGCAGAGAGCTAATATCAATAGAATAATCACTACTTGTTTCAGAGGTGCAGACATCCGTTCAAGTCAAGAAAAAGGTCACCTGAAATTCGTTTGCAAGGAAGGATGTCTGAAGGATGTAAAATTGGAAGAATTGAAAGGAATACATTTGCCGGGCGCGTTCTCGAAGAAACCGCTGGGCACGCTGTGGAATTCTTGGCGCATCGCAAGTATTTATTAGAACGACATCGAAATGGCAGCAAAAATAAATTTTGGAAAGATGAAACGATCTGTTTGGACGAAGAAACTCTACAAAAAGTCATTTGTTTAGCCTACAACAAGTGCATGGACTGGACCGAGTCCGTTTGAGTCACTATAGGAATAACACGCCACGAGAGAAACGAGGATTATGAATTTGAGAAGATTCACGATTCCGCACTGAAAAAAGTGAAAAAAGAACTCGAGTAGGAGGAATGGGTTAAAAGGCCCATCAAGGAGGGATCTACTGCTTTCGCAGCACCGGCATCTGCAGCACTCTTAGAAAGAGATGGTCTTAAGCGGGGAATCTCGACACGGGTGAACCCGAATTTTTTGCAGCTTGGGGAGATTCTCAATTAATGGTTGGCACACCCCCTATGGGTTATTGTTTGGCCTTTGGGACGAAAATTCAAAGAGGACGAAGTTACGGAAGTGGTAAAGGCCTGCGAAAGGTCTTTTGAGAATGGTGGCCATATAGTTTCGGCATGGCCTTCGGTTGTTGAGGTTGAAGAGTTCTGAGGTGTGGAAAAAGATGATCGATATCTGGAAACAATTGGATGAAACTCTGAAAAAAAGAGCGGGATCTGGACAGTTTTTCAGAACGGCAAACTCGAAAATAGAGGAAAGAGAAATATTCTGTGAGCTTGGAATACCAGAATCGTGCTTATCACTTTACGGAATCGACTGCACCGTGGGATGTGCGAAAATAGTGTACGAGACGATTAAAGGCAAGACGAATAATTCGGTACCTTTCCTAGAACTTAAAGGGATGGAGCCCCAGCTGCTGAGGACAGCAGCTTCGGAGGGGGGAGGCATGTGGGCCGAATCAAGATCATTGCAGCGACCTGCGAAGCACTGGGGTGATTTAAGCAGGAATTAGAAAGGCACTTAAGGTCGACGACGGCCCTGTCGAGGATAGAACATCCCCGCCCAGACTCCCTCACACCCCCTTTACTGGACTGTTTCTTTCTTATTTTATTTGTTTCGATAATCCCGGCTCGCGTAATTATTCTGTTTGTTGTGTAAAAAAATTGTTGTTTGAGAACTGTGTGCGTGGTGGTCTAACACCGTTTCGAAAGGTCAGTATCCTTCCTTCGAACTGACTATTCGGTACAGAAACACCAAGCAGTCAGGTCGGGGTTGGTGCAGCTCAAATCAGTCCTTTCCTTGGAGTTTTGTATACGACGGGTCCAAAGCAGCTCTCCACTGTTAGCTCTACTCAAAGCCGAATAGATCTATGTTACTGCCTCAATCAGCTTTTATCGCTCTTAGGAAGGGCTATGGTGCGCTCAAGATAAATCCAAACTCTTTGTGACAGGTCTCGAAAGTGGCGCACTATATCACAAGCGCGGTCAGGGGATCGAATCCCGGATCGATGCCCGCCCAGGCCAACCAAGCCTTCCATCCCTCCGGGGTCGGTGAATTGGTACCAGACCGTCTGGGAGGATAAAAGCACTGACTTGTACATCGACTGGCCACCGCAAGTCATTGTATAGGACACATACGCACTCATTACGCCACTACGATTCTGAATGGAAGTCGAGTGCGGGGGCGCATCCCTCAGACGGGATTGATTAACGCCAAAAACTTTATCCTTTATCCTTTATTCAGTAGTGGTGAGAACGTAGTCCTGCTGAGGTGTCACAGTAGCGAATGACAGGAGCCTGAAATTTTAGAACACAGAAAAACTTGCCAGCCTGTCGAACTATTTGTCCGGCAATTTCATTATGTGGCAACCCAGCGCCAGAAAATATCGCGATTTTCTGAAAAATATAAATGCTTATATTCTGAGAACGGATGTCTGCACTCACTTTCCTCGAATTCAAACGATTGCCTGTCATCTCCACGTTGCCATCTCTAATGATCAAGCATGAGGCTTCAACCCATGGGTAGAAAAACAAAGTCAACTACTTTTTTGTGTTCAATCAACTGATTGGAGTTGCGGTAAGGCCTAATGATCTGAATAAATCGGGTGTGCAGCATTAACGTTGGCTTGATTCAGGTAGAATCTCTATACTCCCACCGGTCCTCCTGTTACTCAATTTATCGGTTGACGCCTAATCTTTCCGAGTTCAGCTGAACTAATACTAACTCCGTGAATTGGTAAGTTTGAAATTAAACGTCTCCGAATAATGACTTTTCAGACTTTTTTGACGCTTCACATCGCACTGTTTTGACGCAAACACCAATAAATGGTCATCTACAAGACGTGGCAAACTCTCTACTGAAACTCTTAAAGTCTAAGGCAGGTACGTTGCGCTGATTTCGCTGGAATTACAGCAATCATCCACTGATTTCAAATCTTCATCCGCTCTAGAAAGCGGTATGTGTGAGCGCGGTACGCTGTTCCTCGCTCACTACAATCATGCTTAGAACGAGCTCGCCCGTATTGAAGCAAGCAGACGCCAGGGTGTTCCAACCAACCAAAATCTGACTTTCATGAGCCGCCGTTTGTTCACAGCAAATCGGCCCTTCTCAGCTACATTGCTATTGCAGCGCATGCGCTCCAGTTGCCACCTAAACGGCGGGTAGAGGGGGGACCGCGCTCATCCCTGGAGCGCAAAGAGGTAGGGGTACCCGACCTCGCCTATGCTCAGGAATGTTCCTATCTGAAAACATATAGTTTTCAAGTGAGGCTCAAGAGGAAGGAGCATTGAGGTGGGTAACGATTACCTTGCGCAAAAAGCTGTGGTAGGGTGAGAACTGCAGTTTCTATTGACTCAACTGCAGCGGTGCTTCTTTCTTCAGGGGGTTATAGTGGGATTATAGGTTATAGTTATAAAAAAAACATATTTTTCCGGCTGAAGGCGTTCCCGAGCAGCATTATCTCATTATCTTGGGCCATCTTCTGAAAAACAAGTTTCAAACTCCTCGGAAGGAGTCGTGAGTTGTGGCAACGGTTAGGTTCTGAGGTCGAGGAAAGCGAACGTTCATTCAAAGAGTTAGAAACTCTCAGGCAAAGTCTAGTACAGCCTCCTGCAGGATCTAGTATACGAGCAAACTTTATCCTAATTCGTGCTTCTGCTGAGCTCAGAAAAATGATCAAGAAACACTTCATGTTTAAAGGGATGCACCATCATAAAAAAATTGTGTTTGCATTTCATTATTCAGACTCATTCGCGTTTTTTCACATTATGATACTAAGAGGGATAGTCAGGTACGTTTCCTTCTTGTACTCTTTTACTCGCATTTTTGTTTGCATTTTTTGTTTCCTTTTCACTAAGCTGAAGTTGTTTTTTTTTGTTCATACGTTGTTGTAGGGACTTTCGTCCGAATTTCTTGTACATTTCGTGCATGTAGTAAACATTAAATATTTAATAATCTCACTTACTGTAAAGCGCTTCGTCTGTCGTCTGTCGTTATGTCGTTATGTATTTCTGTCACGAAATTCCTTAGCTCCTTTAGATCTGCCTGGAGAGACCGGGTCAAGCGTGGGATGGGTGGGTCATGTCCCGGGAAGTATAAAGAACCTATCAGCTTGGTGGAGCCCCGCACACAATGGGCGTGGTGTGCATCGAAATGAGCTGTACTGAGGACCATGATTTCAAATTCAGTCACAAGACGGCTTCAAAACTGGGGTGTAAAGGTGGCTAGACGTGTGCATTGCTAAGTTAGACCGAACTAAGAAGACCCACACCCTATGGACGGGGCGTTCTCCGAAAATTAACTAGTGGGTGGGGTTTGGGAGGAAAATCATAACTCCAGTCCCAGGATACCTAGAGTGACCAAATTTGGTAGGAGTACCCCAGATAGGATGGGAACACTATGGTGGGTGGCAGGACCGGACTCCGCCTGGAAGGAGCCACTGTAATTGGAGTCATGAAAAATTCAAACTTGGAACTAGAGCGTTCAAAATAGGTAGGAGCTCAGGCGGCAGTATGGGAACACTTTTATGGTGCGTGGCAGGACCCGACTCCGCCTACAAGGGGCGGGGTTTGTGGAAATTTTCGAGCTTGAACCTAGAGCGCTCATATGCGATAGAAATACAGGCGCCAGGATGGGAACGCTTATGCTGGGCGGCAGGACCGGACTCCGCCCACAGTGGGCCAGAGGGCGGGGTTTGAGTGGAAATTCATAGCTCCTGTTCCCGTGGACCTAGAGCGCTCAATATTCATGGGTGTGCAGGCGGCAGGATAGAAACACTTATGGTGGGTCGCAAGACCACACTCCACCTATATGAGGGGGGGGGGGGGTTGTGCGAAAAATTCAAACCATGATCTAGAGTGCTCGTATTATGCCCATGCTACGCATATTGAAACTTCGCATGATTCGATCCACTAGGAAAGGAGTTACGACTGAAAAGTACGACTGAAGGAGCATTTCACCGAAGACTTTTGAGCGCTACTATATGTCGGGCGGCAGGACTCAACTCCGCTCACAAGAGGCGAGGCGTTGGCAGAAAAATGATAATTCGGACTCGAAAGCGAAATCTCGAAACCACGGTCAAAAAGTCGGAAATAAAACGAGTTACGCAAACACACAGAACCTAATTAGGTTCGTTCATGGCGGACGGGGCGCGCACGAATTGTGTTGGGTGTTTGTGTTTGGCCGGGAAATAACTCCTGTTCTTATCTAACGAAGCCTCCAAATTTGAAAAAGGTGCAGGCGGGGAATCCATTTTAACACGAGGAAGGGAGCCCGGCGAGCCTACCAGTAATAACAATAGCCTTCGCGCCAATTGTAGTGAGAAATTCTGGTATCTTTTCCGGTATCTGGATGTTCCTTCCAAGCTGAAACTTTTTCGTCAAAAAAATGCTGTCGAAGAGGGTGCCGCATGCAAGTAGGGCACGGCATTCGTCCTTCATCTCAGACTTCTTTTCGTCAGAAGGTTCCTATGGCTTCCGAAATCAGACTGGAGACAGTATTTGCTCGGGGAAGACTGTTTTCATTGAAGTAGAACATGCATTCATTTCTACAATAATTTTTCTCGTGTTTCTGCAGGTTTCGTAGTAGCGTAATCATTTCCAAGCAATTGTATGCGGATGAAAGACTGTAATCGAGACAAGACGACCGCCTTCGAGCCAGTCGTCGACTTGTCCACGCATCGCGATACAGGAAACTTTCACGCGCAAATGTCAAAACGACGAGTAACCCTGGAAAAGCACTCACCTTATGGGCGCAAAGAAGGAACACCTGCTGCATGATCGCGGGCTTCATTGCCTCTCGAAAACAGGCGAATTAAGAACACCAAATTAGATATGTGAACTAAGGTCTATGGTAAACATAAGGGATGTGCATAATTGGAAAAACTCTCTAAGCAAAAAATCGCTGAGCTCCGTAAAGTTGTTGCCATATTTATGGCGCGCCCTTCATATCTGATTAGTGTATCAGTCTGTATGACCGACTTGATGGGAATCGGAAGATAAAATTTCAAAAAATCCGAGGTGAGATTCCCTATCGGAATGTAGGGATGCTATTATTTCCACAGGCAACGTTCTAGGTGCTTGGAGACTCACACTTCAATTTTCCTAAAAAAGCTAATGCACGGAATCGAAACCTTTTCATATGCCTGGATTTCTCATGAGCGGAGCTTCCCGCTGATCCTGCTTCCAACTTGAATTGTCATTCTGCAGGATGTGTCGCGTACTCATATTTAGGGATTCTGTAGATCAGGAATTTATTCGGCTACGGATTTTTCACGCTGCGTCCTAAATTCACGCTTTTCCAGGCTTTCAAAACTCGATTTGATGAGCTTGATGCTGATGATATAGAGGGCTGTGAGTCAGGACATCTCTACATACTCTCCTTATGATACTAGCACGTGCATTATGGAATCATAGAACTTGAAGAGCCGAGTTAAACTGTATAACAAAAAAAAAGCTTGTAAGGCGATTGCAACGAGGAGTGGAAGGAATGCGCACCTTACGGCTGTTTATATTTTATGGGATTCGTCGGGATTCGTCGACCTCAGTGTGGACGGTTGCCGTGCAACGAAAATTGTTGATTTAGGAACTTCCTCAAGAGTTATATAAAGGGCTGTACGTCAGAGATCTCAACATACTCTCCTGAGGATGAGAGAAGGTATATTACGGCGCAAGCAAAATAGTCTCACGGCAGATTGTTCTTGTCTTTGCCTCATATATATATGTATATATATGTATGTATATGTATATATGTATGTAAATATAAGCGTGGGTTGAGGCAGTGTAGTGCCAAGTGTATGCCAGCACGCGAATGATGAACGGCTCAAATCCCAGTTCAATACCCATCCACGAGAACCGGTTCCTTTATTCGTTTTGGGTTGGTCAACTAGTACAAAATCTAGTACAAGATCCGCTTAATGGAAAAAGCTCTAATCCATACTCCGTCGTCCACTACAACACAGCGCATAGGCCATATAGATATGCGTACAATCTAAGAACATTACTTCGATTCTGAATGAAAATCGAATGCAAAGTAGGTCCCGAAAACTGAATTGAAAAGGGTTGAGACAAGGAATGACTATGCTTCCCTTTTTATTAGCGCGTAGTGGGTGACCTGTGGTGTAGCGTCAATTTCATTCAAGGGTGTAGGAAGAAATAGGCACAGGCTATCTATAAATGCAGTTTCGCGCGATCATTGAACCTTTCACAGCAACGTGAAATTCTTCAACCTCCCATTCAGAACAGTGTACACAACATCACTTTTCAAAGTCGTTACATTACCTGTCCACGAGAAATTGTTGCCATTACATCAATGGTCGATATTCCTGTTTCAATCATTCGCTTCGGATACACACGCATATAAGGATTCACAGCCATTCCGTTGACATCCATATAATCTT